TAGATTTTGCATAATTCATTTAGTATCTGATGAACATTTTTCTTTTTTGATACTTAATAGGATGTTTATTTTAAAGCGAGGAATTCACAAGAAATTAGTGAAAAAATTGGGAGAAGTGGGAAACAATATTTATGGAGACATGACGGGAAGTCAGGGCTTCAATACCATGTGAACATTTTAATTTGACTGTCAGTGTCTTACAGTCAATACACATCATGGAAAGAACTTGCAGCATGTTAATTGTAGAATCTTTTTAAAAATTCTTATTTAGATTCATTTATTGTATGTACTTGAATGTTTGGCTTGCATACCTGCATTTGTGGGCACAATATGCATGCCCGGTGCCTAGGAGTTTAGAGAGCCACGTCCTCTGGAACTGGAGTTACAGGTGGCTTTTAACCACCGTGTGGCTGCTAGGAACCGAACCTGGGTCTCTACAAAAGCAACAAGTGCCATTAATCTCTGAATCATTCTTCCAGCCCTGTTTTCTGAAGGTGAAGGAACAGCTTCATGGAAGATTGCTTGCCCAGCACACCCAAGGCTGAAGGTACCATAAGAATTGTCCCAAAGGATTGATGGAGTGTTCTGGCTCCTGTGAGGACATGCAGGAAAGCGGGTCATGTAAGTGTTCAGCCCCATTTTCTTAATAGTACTTTTCAAAGAGCAAAAGTTTCAACTATGAATTCTAATTTTTAGTTGTTTTCATAAATCATACTTGGCTCATTTAACTGCTCTGATGAAGTTAGCTGATGTTTACTAAACTACAACTGTCTATAAATCCAGTCCCAGAGGATCCCATACCCTCTTCCAGCTTCCATTGGCACCAGGCATGCACATGATCCAGACAACCTTAGACAAAGCACTCATACATATAAATAAAAATAAGAATTAATATAAAACAGCTATTTACCAGCACTTTTCAGATGTGACAAAAATTTACAAGAAAAAAAAAAGATTATACCAGTTATCTGGTCAAGGCAGAATGAAGAGCTGGCGGCCATTGGCTGTAGAGCAGGGAGACTTAGAAGTGCTGGAAAATCTTCATGAAAGGTAAGAAGACTTTTCTCATCCAGTTCACCGCCCAGAGTCTGATGCCGCCCAGAACCTTGCCCTCCTTCTCTTTTAATCCTCTTCGTACTCTACCCCTAACATGATGTGTGAAGTGAGATTGAGTAGGATAACACAAATGGAGAGGGAGATGGACATTAGTTTCTGGTCAGCTTCTCTTCTCTGCAGGAAAAGAAGCAAGAGAAGTCCTTTCGTTTTGCTCCTTTGGGCCATCTGTGAGGTTGGCATGAGAGTCTTTAGAGCATCTGTAATTGGGGACAAGATCCTATTCTGTTGAGCTTTGCAAATAATTTTCCTTTGGAACAGACCTGATGCCTTGGACTTTGGTTTTACTCACATATAGCTGAGTACTTCAGACAGTTAAAACTTGGACAGCTAGATTTCTATACTAATCCACCTGAAATCCAGATCAGCATAATTGTTCCTTTAGGATGAGGAAACAGAATCAGACAGGAAAGAGAGTGGATCTGATTATTTTTCAAACACCCCTTTAATCCTTACACCCCAAAAGGATTTGTCATCAAAGCCTCGATCGGGAAACCTGAGACCAGATCCAAGCCATGGCTGGAAGGTAGTCATAGTCCTCGTGTTCATTCACTTGGGTTTCTTACTGCCAGAGGAACACTTCCCAGTAATAACTGTGTTTCCTGAGTGTGGCGAGGAATTCGATTCAGACACCATCGCATAGTGTTTAATGTACAGGGGATGGAGGAAAGAGGAAGGCACCCACACTGGATTCCATTAGAAGGAAAACTCTGCCTAAAAATAGCTTACGTCTAGCCCACTTCCAGCAAGTGATGAAGTATGCTAGAAAGATAGAGTCACCTTCATTTAGATTTTTGGCAAGGCCTGCCAGGAAAAAACAAAAAGCAAAAAACAAAAAAACCTTAGATGGGTGGTAGTTCACACCTGTAATCCCAGCATTCAGAAGGCAGAGGTCGGTGGATCTCTGTGAATCTGAGGCCACCCTGGTTTACAGAGTAAGTTCCTGGATAGTCAGAGAAACCCTGCCTTAGAAGGAAAAAAAAACAGTCATGAGCCCTAGATGTAAATGTGTTATAAAAGTCAGGTAGAAGGAGAAGGAGATGAGGAGAAGATATGTAACTATGGAGGTAGAGATTGAAGTTACATAACCACGGGTCAGAAGTTGCAAAGGGCAAGAAAATGGATTCTTCCCCCAAAGCTCCCAACACCTTGGGTTGAATTTGTGAAACTGATTATCAAGCTCCAGCCTCCAAAACTATAGGGGAATAAATGTGCATTGGTTAACACCACATGAGCTCCAGTCTGTGGTCATTTGTTGCATCAGCCACAGGAAAACCATACAAGGATGATGAGAACAAGGAAGAGCGATATCGTGCCAGGTGTTTCGAGTAGGAAAGTCTGAGAGGAGATGAAAGAGGCACGCGACTGCTTAGAGAAGAAGGGGTTGCTTTTGGCAGCTGCTTCTGGGAGGTCTTGATTGTGAGAGAAAGGGGCTCTTCCTGTTCCTGTGAAGTTTTGCTGTGCTTTCAGAATGAACGCACCCCTTCTTCGGCATGGCCTCAGAGACTGGGAAAATATATGCTTTTCAGATGAACTTGTTTCTGATGAACAATCCTCTTTTGGAGTGGACCTACAGCTACTTGGATTTTATACTGGTTATTTTACTGGAATTTATGTAAGAGTTTAGATTGCAGATGAGGTATTTAGCACCAAGAAAGCATTTTCAGTGGGCTCCACATTATTGCAATAATGATTGAAAAGAGTGCCACGCTTTTCAGTCAGACTGCAATCATGTTGAGTTATTACTATAAAGCCAAAGTAGCAGAATACAGAGAGACATCCTAGGAGAAATCACATTTCAAGACTGAGTATACTCATCAAAGAATATGCTTAGATGCTGTTGTGTTAGATGCTATTATTAGCACCACAAAGTGGTTTTTTCCATAAGAAACTGGAAAGTTGTGTTCAGTCCTGTTTCAACAGATGGATGTACCCTTTCTCAGGAGAAAGAAGGTCAGACATCCATGGTTTGTGGGAATCTCTACTCTCAGGGACCAGCCTCCAAAGCCACAGAGAAACTCTGTCTCAAAAAATCAAAAAAAAAAAAAAGGAAGTCTACACAGGCTGGCAGACCAATCCCAGTCTGCCTCACCACCATAGACAGAACATATGGCAAGGTGCTGAGCTGTTAAGACTCAGACACTGAAATCATAAGCACTAACAAGCAAAGTAGAGAGAAATAAAACATGGCATGGAATGAAAGACATCACTGCTTGCCTTCTGGTAGAAAAGGCGGTGGAGTCGCCATCTTCCTCATCTTACCTAAAGCACAGACCCTGGAGGGGGGAGGAGGGGAGGAGAAGATGTTGACACTGGTGCGTTCACTCTTCTGGAAAATTTCAAATTCCCCAGCTCCTCTTTTCATAGAGCAAAGGTTAACTAACAGAGTCTGGGCACAGCCTGTTTTCTGTGGCACCAGGGGAAATATTATCTACCCAATAAAAGTCTTTATTTTTTAATGGAGAGAGTTAAGGATTTGAATCACAAAAGGAAAAGAGTAGTGTCTTCTTGTAAGGACTGTGAACTTAATTGAAAAAATCACAAGATACAGAATTTTATTCATTGGAGATTAAGACACCGTAATACAGACTCTCATAAGATTCCTTCTTCCAAGGCTATGCTGGGGATGGGTAAGGAAAGCAGGTACATTTTGGCATGACTTGGCAGTGGTTCCACAGAAATGCACTGAATTTTAAAAAGTTCCATGGAGAGACTTAAAGAAGACCTTGTTCCCTAAGGTTTGGAAGAGTAAGCAAGGAAATACCGAGTGCCTTTTGTCGGACAAATCAAAGGGAGTGTTTCCATTTGAATTCCTATAGAAACACCGAGACCACATTTCAGAGTAAGAAGAATCTGTGACGAGTGAAAAAATGCTCACAGTTGTGGAAAGAGGAAAGTCAGTGAAGGGATATCTACTGATAGTCAGCAAGCCAGGTATTGTGGCAGGGAACGGGACCTTAATCCTACAGACACACTGTGTAGGCCTCTGTAAAGCCCAGGGCATACAACTGCACATCTTCACCCAGGTAGTCCACTGTGGCCTTGAGTGAAGCAAGGAAACAGGGCATTCATGCAGACAGGATAAAAGGACATTCATGCGGTACAAAAGCTCAGGGTGGGACTTGGAGCTTAGCCCGGACAAAGAGAGTAGCTGGGCATGAAAGTCAGTGTCCAAGTAGATACCATGTGGAGTAGGGCAGGAGAAAGAAGGAGGAGGATGCCAGCTAGATTTCATGCCCGGAATTGATCTATAATTAGTATATTAAAAAATGAAGAAATAGGGTTTCCTGCTGTCATATAAATAGAAGAAAGATATTGAACTAGAATGATCTATGAGGTGTTGTGTGAGATTTATGGCATGTATGTGAACTTACAGATTTTGGAATAGATACAAGCATAGGTTTGTACACATGTCCATAGATTTTTGTAGACACACAGACATGTACATATGCATCATGGTTGTCTCTGATTTATACTTACACACACACACACACACATATGGATAGATGTACATCTTGAACACTGTCTACTGCCTGGTCCTAGGAGCATGGAGATCCCAACAGCAGTGAGCATAACTAATGCCTAGACTGTGACTTTCAATGTGTTTCAAATGCATTTTTTACTGACTGTTAAAGATGGAACCATTTTATTTTTAAAACAGAATAATGGATTGGAGATACAACTAAGTTGACAGAATGCTTACTTAGCACACTTGAAGTTCTGGTTTCAATCCCATTATCACAAAAAATAGGTGTGGTGCCTCACACTTGTAATACCAACCCTCAGAAGTAGAGGCTAAAGGATCAGACATTAAAGATCATTCTTAGCAAATCTGAGGGCCAGCCAGAGCCACAGAAGACTATTTCTAAACAACAAAAAGAAAAATATAATAATAATAGTAACATTTATTTTTACCCATTGAACAAAATAAGAAACCATGACACCATGAAACTACAATTGAATGCATGAATAAATTGAAATTATGATGAGGAACAGAAGATTTCAAAATACTTTCTCACAAAGTGTGTTTATTAACTGTGGAGGGCAAAATCACTTTACAATGGAGAAGCTTGACAGACATGACCTTAGTCAAGTGATGAAAATGAACACTAGCAGTAACGCAGCAAGCCAAATCTGTGAGGTGCCCTTTTAGGGCACAATTGAAAGAATACAATACCGCTTCTATGTTATTTCTGATAAAGATGAATAACCTATTTAATAATGAAGAAATATTAAAGTGACCCAAATAAGGAACATTCTACAAAATAATGGCTTTATGGCCTGCAAAAGAGCCAAGGCCTCAGACTGAAGACTGTCCAGAATGAAGACCACTCCAGAGACAGAACAACTACACACAAAGGGAAGTTCCCCAGAGAACCTTCCTCCTACATACATCCAAGACACAAGGGAAAGATCTTGAATGCAGACCAAAGACTAAATGTTAATCTTCTCATATGGGTTGAGAGTCATTAGGCACACCCTTCTTTTCTGTAGGAAATAAGCACCATTCCATGGAACTAGGAGGTCAATGCAGAAACTAACTCAGAGCAGAACACACTTTTTCCTGTGCATGTCTGCTCTTTTGTAATTTTGTAGATATTTCAAAGTTTAAAAAGGGAGAGAGCAAGATGAATAAAGCAACTATCTAATACAGCACACATGGTCATTGGAGAGAAAGTCTAATGTATATGTGGTCCTCACTAAGGTCATCACTTCTCTGCCCCCAGAAAATAGAGTGAGGCTATTCTCCATTGCTGGATACAAATGTTTCTTCTTTACCTCTTATTATTGCTATCATTGTTTAACAAGTGGCTCCTCTTAAAGCCAGTTCCTATTTCACAGAAATTTTGTTCTTCAATAATTCACTGTTAACTGTTTGGTGTTGGGAGGGAAATCCTTCATGGAACAACCTGAAGGCTAGCTTCCACAACCTTACACCCACCCAGAAAATTACACCTGATTCAGAGAATACAGCCAGGCTGCCCGAGTCTGCTGAAAAGAGAGAACACTATACTTGATTCAAATTACAAGTTCAGTACTGTACTGTACACAGTCAGTATTACACATGCTTAATGTAATAAGTACATAATGATACATCAGGTCCCACTTTTAAAGTAAACTGTAAGTAGGCAACTACAATATAAGACTATGAAGCAGTCTTATTTTACTTAAAGTTAAAAAAATAAATGTTGCATACACATTGACTTAGAAGCCTTAGGCATGCAGACAGGAACATGGAAAAAATGGTCCAGCTCCGAGCGATCACATGCTGCTTGCGCTTCTGAAGCATTCCAGTTAACTCGTGTTCTAAAGAAGACTATCTGAAAGTGCCAGGGCTGACTTCCAGGCTGCATACTTCCAGGAGAGGGAACTCTGTCTTGGCTTCTCTGTGCTTCTTCATAGATCCCAAAGACCAAAGGCTCGGAGGCTTCTCTCAACCTTGGGATTCCAGCTCATTCTGGAGTGCCACTCCAGGTTCATGGGAACCATTTCAGTCTGCCAAACCCAGAAGAAGCATGGCTGTAGTCTGGCAGCCACCTCCAGAACCTGTAACTTTCAGGCTATATAGATAATCCATTCTACCTCAGGAGAATGTTTGCCCATTAACAATATGTTGCTTTGCTTGCTTGCAACTTTAATATGATCTACAAAAATGGCTACACTTGTGACTAATAGCACCATGGAAACATAGATAATGATACAAAACACAATAGCAAAATTAATTTGCTTTTGATTCTGAGCAACGTTTCCTACCACTAATACCAGCACATTTTAACTGAATTTGAGAAAATAAAATGTCTTTGGAGGAAAAATACTACTTTGGCAGAGAGAATATGGGAGAATTACATCCACTAATGTTTTTGAGCAGCAGAAGGGAAAACGTGTAGTCTCAACTTCTTATCTGCAGTGGCTGCAGGCTGCCAAATAGACATGCGGAAGTATCTTTAAAGGGAAAATCGAAGGCATCTACACCCCCTCAAGCAGTGATCAACTGAAGTTTAGAATTTGGAAGAGAATGCTGTGTTGGTACTAATGTAAGAGTTCAATGTAGCATATACATCAACATCTCAGAAACGCAAGAGCTACCGTTATGAAGCATCTCCCTCTACTGTCTGGTTCTAGAAGGAACACTGATCCCTACAGCAAGAAAAAGTAATCTGAAAGATGAGGGCAGATGCTGACCATTGGCTGCCTGTGTGCTTTACAGATTAATACCCTTGGCATTTTTGTGAACATGTTGCAGATGTGTTTGTTTTGCTGGCCAGTGTATAGCTAGAAGCAGGTGCAGAGAGAGGGGGATTCTAACCAAGTGATGTGTGTTTGTCGAGTACACATGAGCTGAACCTTCTATAAGAAGGTGTTCGCCTTAAAAGAACTCAGCAATTCCCAGGCAGTCTGTTGAAATTCTGGGTGCCTAGTAGTCACTGATTCTGACAAGCAAAATACTCAAAGGAGATTCCTGCAGTCAAATCAAGTCAGATGCCCCGTGATCCAGAAAACAGAATTTCTCAGTTCAAATTTCAGGGGAACTGGTCAGTGTGGTTCCTCCATGGGTGCCAGAGCGCTTCAGATTATGGGGTCACACCTGTAACAAAAATTCCACATGAGCTGAATTCCCTTTAAGAAGCTTTCTGCTTTTCCCTGTGGTGTACACCCACGAGCTGTCTCACACACATGCACACGCGAGCACGCACACACACACACACACACACACACACACACACACGATTTCTATGCCTGTAAGGCTTATCTGTTTATCTGTTGTTCAAACTGCTCCAGCACCATAGCCCACTGTGCCTCACTTTGCCTTTCTGCCTCTGGCTTTCTCTGGAGACTTGAGAACAGCTTTATTCCGAACCCACTGCAGGGATGAGGGAGAGGTAATGCCCCTTGAAGACAGCTGCCAACTATAGGAAATGAAGCTGGTGGTCAAGCGTCTCATTTCCCATCCTTCACATAAATTGTAGGAGGCCTCCGTACACTTAATGGGACAGAAGTCCCATTAAGTCAGACCCCCAGAACCAAGCGCCAATACTCTCAACCTTACAATCACCTTTATTCTTGCCTGTCTCCCTTTTCCCTACTCCTTTGCCACTTCTCCATGGGAATACCACTCCAGTGAATGATTTATACTGAAAACCTTATCTCAGACTCTGTTTGGGGGGGATTCAAACTAAGTTAGAACACTTTATTATTAACACAATGATTGTGATGAAGTATGCTGTTGTTTTTGCAGGAGCAAAGTAATCAAACAAAGCTGATAGAAAGTGCCAAAGCTATGATATTAACTGTCTGGAAAGGAGCCACTGGCAGTCTGGACCTCAGCCCTGGTTCTCGACAAAATAATAAAGACTAAGTGTACAGGGTTAAACCCTCTTCCATGCAATGATTCCGTGACAGGCTATGTGTGTCCCTGAGCCACTGAGTGGTAGCCAAAATATGATGGTTTCTATTCTATCCCATATCTATTCTATCCCATATCATTCCATCCATGGGCACAAGATGTGTAAAATTTCCACAATGGATGTTTCAAGCTCTCTGGATATTCCTTAGACTTGATATCACCTGTCTCTAACCATCAATGAACTAGGCAAAAGCTTCAACCAGATTTCCAATGCCATCCAGATTTGGACATTCTTTACGTCCAAAACAACTGAGTATCACCATGAATTCCTCCTCCACCATGCCCTGGCCCCCAGCATCAACCTAAACCTTCCTTCCTAGCCTCTTCTCAAATCACCTTCTGGTAACTCACTCAAAAGGTTGTGTTGAAGGATGTCCACTAAATGTGCACCATCTGATTTCATGAAAATTGCAAGAAGGAAGATCCAGATATATCTCATTTTGTTTTCAATCTTATTTGAAAATTACCTTGAACCAACTGTGACCTATTGATCTTTTTCTTTTGTACTAGGGTTGGATCTAAGACCTCATACATACTAGGCAAGTATTCTACCAATGAGCTGAACACATCTCCAAAGCTACTACTGTTGCTTTTCCTCCTCTCCCTCTTCCTCTTCCTCTTCCTCCTCCTCCTCTTCCTCCTCTTCCTCCTCATCCTCCTCCTCCTCTTCTCCTCCTCCTCTTCTTCTCCTTCTCCTCTTCTTCTTCTTCTTCTTCTTCTTCTTCTTCTTCTTCTTCTTCTTCTTCTTCTTCTTCTTCTTCTTCTTCTTCTTCTTCTTCTTCTTCTTCGGAGACAAGGATGTATCAAGTGACTCAGCCTAACCTGGAGCACCTCATCCTGAAGATCAGGCTAGGCTTGAATTGCTATGCTCTTACTGAGACTTAGTTTTTCTTTTCTTTTTCTTTTCCTTTTCCTTCTCTACCATTCCTCCCTCTCTCATTCTCTTTGTTAATTTTGAAACAAGATCTCATATATCACAGGCTGGCCTCCAGCTCATTCTGTAGCTGAAAATGACCTTGTCCTTATGATCCTCCTACCTCCAACTCCTGAGTACTCGGGTAACAGGTGTGTGTTACCATGTCCATTATATAGTACTGGGATTGAATCCAGGGCTTCATATATGTTATATAAGCACTTTAAAAACTGAACTACATCCTTGACCCCTAACAATTTATTTTAATAGTAATTTACAAACACTGTTTTTAATATACTACAAAATGGATAAACAAAATTAAAGTAAAAATCCAGATTTTCACATAAAATACTAAAATTATCCTTAGGTAAAATTTCCTTTTCTTTTCTTCTTTGAGACAGGGTTTCTCTGTGGCTTTGGAGGCTGTCCTGGAACTCACTCTGAAGACCAGGCTGACCTCAAACTCACAGAGATCTGTCTGTCTCTGCCTCCCATGTGCTGGGATTAAAGGTGTGAGCCACCAATGCATGGCAATTTTCTTTTCTTTTAAAATAAAAACAAATAAATAAAGTCAAGTCTTAACATAAAGAGTGTTCCTCCCTCCCCAAGCCCCTGAGGGAATCTATACCTGCAAGTCTAGATTTCTTGTTTGTGTTGACTGCTGCCATGATCATGTATTCACTATTTGGGTCATGCACGCTGGATCCATACTTCTGGAAGAGAAAGTTAGAAACATGGCTTATTATCTGCTCTTTCCCACCTTTATGCTTGTTTTCCAAGTGTTTTCTGTCTTTTATTGAAGTGGCGTGTGACAAAAGTATAATTATGGACTTAGACTTAGTAGAACAACATGCAAAAGGGTTTCACTAAAAAGTGCTTTCTGAACTATGAGACAGCTCAGTGAAAAAAAGCACTTGTTGCCAAGCCTGATGACCGACACCTAAGTGGTGGAAGGAGAGAATAGCTTAGAGGTGCTCTCTCTCTCTTTCTCTCTCTCTGTCTCTCTCTTTCTCTCTCTCTCTCTGTCTCTCTCTCTCTCTCACACACACACACACACACACATGCACACACACACACATGAGTCTGGCTAATGGCCACTGGAACATTCACATACACACTTTCATATACATATAATATACAGAATGGAGTATAAGTTCTTTAATTTTGAATCTGTTGTGCGAATGGCTAAACAGAATGTTCCACAACAAAAGATAATTTGTTGTCCCTCTTATATTGTCCTGAATAGCTTTTCAGATGTTTTTCTTAAAAACAAGGAGTCTGGTGATATAAAGAAGCAGTTTCCTTCTTAACCACTATTGGTACCTAGTTAGATAATCTCATTGATTCAATTTGCTAAGTAAGAGACACTTATAACTAATTGTTTCAGCTTTGTCTTGACTCTTAGGAAGTTTATACTCAAATCTTAATCCAACATTTAACAGTTTTTTTTAAAAAATCAAAGGCATCTATTGTTATATTTTAGCCCCCTTCCTAACCTTTATCTGTAACTGGCCCCAATTTTCTATCTCTTTAGGAAAAAATAGTAATAATAATGTATCTCTGTAAGCCTCCAAGTCCTTTTGGGAACGAAATGAGCTAATAAAAAACAAACAGATAATCTCTGTTCCAAGTTACTAGTTTAATTAGTGTGTAAATCGGGGAAAAGGAATTGTCTCCTTTTTTCTCAGGTCACTCTGAGAAGAGCATCAGGCACTGATGAGTAAATGACCACCCAAGAAAGAAAGCATAAGAAATAGTAGAAATCACTTACCTTTTTTGTAAACCAGAAGATCAATATGCATCCAAAAATGTACACCACAACAAAAGCTGCACATCCTATGGGCAGCCAGAGCTTCAACTGGTAGCAACGCTGTGATTCTGGAGGAGCAGGAAGAGATACATTGATGAAAGACATGGAAACACATGTCTGCATTCAATGCTACATATAGAATGCTTTCCTAAACTGTAAAGCTTTTTAATCAAGGAAGGTTTTACTTCCTGACAATGATGATATCCAGTAGATGACAATCAACATCACTGCCACCTTTCAGCAAGGACTCCAAAATCCAAACCTCCCAAAGACTATGCCAGAGTGCTTACAAATGTGACTGACAGAGACTTTCCATCTGAAGCTTTCACAAGATTAAGTAGGAAAATGCATGGTATAAAACTGATTTTCAAATTGTCTCATCTTATTCTCCAAAGTGCTTCCACCTCAAGTGAGTAGAGGTACTATCCACTTAGCCATGATCTGGGTGCTTGAAAGATTAGGCCCTAATTCTAACTCAGCAGTAAATGTCACTAAATCATTTCTTCCTGATAAATGTAAACTGAATATTAACAACATATCATTCCTTGCATATTTCATCCAAGATGATTTGTTGCTAACTACACCTAAAGAATGTAACACAAAAAAATACTTGTTTGTTTCCATTGGTGAGAAAAGTCTTGGAAAAGGATATATACTCTTACATCCCAACCAATGTCTTACCGTAAATGTGCAGATATTCTTTAGGAGAAGTACTTTCTTGGAAAGGAGGTGGTTCAAAAATCAACAGGCTACAGAAGTAATAGCTGCTCTGAGAACTGTCCGGGTTGTTTAGGAAAAAAGAGACACTGCCGTTGGACAGCTGATACGAACAGGTCTTGGTTTCCTTGCTGGACCCAACATTTCCTTTGGTCTTGGTGAGCTCACAGAGGACATCTTCCCCTTTGAACAACTGCATCTTTAGCTGCTGGGTGGTCTCAGGGTACTTACAAGAAATCTGTACACCTTCATTGTAAAATGAAAACATCTTATGCTTGGCTGTGTCATTGGTTGCTCCTGGATCAAAAGGAAAAGAACAAAGTAAGAGTGCTGTTTTGTGAACATGCTACCCTAATAATTATATTTAAGTGGAAACATGATTTCTTTTTATAAAGTTACTTCTATTGATACCAAAATGAAAGATGTCACAGCCAAGCAAACAAAACCAGAATGTGACAAGGCAAAACTATGCACTATAGATGGACTTTTCATGTAATAGCATATAAAATGTATGTAGCAAATAACATGTTTTGATAGTATGACTCAGACAGAAAGGGTCTCCATGCTTTTACAGGTTCCACACTGGGGACCAGGTGATGAACAGAGAAATAAAAGATGTGCCATAATTTGTGTTAAGAACAAAGTGCCATCAGGGAAAATGTAGTAGCTGAACAAGGATAGACTTGCAAAAAGATGTTGTGGAAACAAAACTTTTGAAAGTATATAAATTTACTGGAGCTAATTAAATGGTTATATATAAACAGCATTACATCCTCTCACTGAAAGTAAAGAGACAAATCAATTATACTCAAATAGTAATGTGTCTTCTATGAACCCCATTCAATAAGGACCAAATCAGCCCAAAGATCAGGTGAGGCCCCAGATTTTTGCTCACTGTTTTTGAGATCACCAGAACTAGAATTGTTTTGTGAGATACATGGAGACCTCGGGAGGAGAAAGAGACTGAAATAATTTTAGCCTGGTTGCAGATTGTCAACTCCTGGCTTATAGGTTCAAGGTGTTCTTCTATTTGTTTGTCTTTTATTGTAATGACATATCATTTTTTAATGAAAAGTTTTATGCTGAAATTGTTTGGAAAAATATCAGGATGGTAGCTTTTATTTCCATTGGCAAGTCTCCTTTTTTATTAAGAAGATCAAGTAAGTATAAAATAATTTAAAAAATAGGAATCCCTAGTAAAACATGAGTTATTTCTATATTTTTGGTTTTGATATAGTAAACACAGCATTTTGTGCTCTGCAATTGTCATACAATGTCCTATCATAAAAGTTCCTCTTTTTACATGTTTGACATGATCATTTTTAATGACTGTGTAATGAGCCTCTGTGTTAATCTTTCATGATTTATTAAAACTAAGCATTAAGACATCAGGATTATTTCCAGCACTCTGATTTTCTATAAACACCCCAACATTTACCCAAATGTGTCTTGTCATATTATTCCCTTCAAGAAGGGATGCAACTTATATATTAAGATTGGTATCATACAAGATGATCTACTTGCAATATCTCTGTTTATGTTTGATGCCTTAACTCCTTTCACGCTTCATCACAATCATTTTATTTGTTTATTTGTTTATTTTAGTATCTCTAGTCCTTAGTATATACCTCTCGTATTTCCAGGAAACATTTTCAAATTAGAGGTTTGGCTATAAAAAATATACAAAAGTGTTCCAGCTTCCAAATTTGGTAATACTCCTTATTCAACAATAAAACAACAGGAAAGAGTAAACAAAATACCTAAAAGTAGTATTGCAAGGATTAGATCATTGATCTGAAGAGAATGCAGAAAATGCAGGTCAAACATAAATCAACACCCTGGGACCAGGGACATGAACAGAATGTCAGAGAGGCTTTTGCTCTAAGAACATTTATTGTTTTCCCACATTCAAACTTCTGTTTTTATGCTTTATCTCCCAAAGTCTGCAAAGTGAGGAAGCTGGGAGATGTTTCTTCAATAAACTGGTTTCCAAAGAATGCTGGAATGACACTTGGAGTTAAGGGAAGCCTGAGTGAACTGACCCTCATGTCCAGTGTAAAAAAATGTCATTCCTGGGGTTTTAGTTAAAGTAATCTCAGACTACGATCACCCTACACTTACAAAGTAAAAATGTAGCCTACGTAGAAAAGATGTTATGAGGGACTTTTGATAAGTGAATGTCCACAAGTTGTGATTCCTTGCTTAGTCACTAAGAGAGTGTGATATATAATCCATATGTAGGCCACAAATCCACCCTAATGCCTGAAGGGGAGAAGAGAGTTTGAATCAGGAAAGAACACAGAACTTAGAAAGGAGAAAGGTGTCTGTGTGCTGGCAATATTTCATTCTTGGCTTGTAATTGTGAAATGAGGTAGCCTATGTGATTGTTACTCATTCAAAGTTTTCTTTTATTATTTGTTCACATCTCTGTATGGATGTTTGGTCTTAAAATTTAGAAGTCTGAAAGTATGCAGAAGGAAGATAATGCTGCTTTCACTTTTTTCTAATACAGAGAAAAGTATAAGTTAAAGGCAGAGGGGGTGGGAACAGATGACACTTGCAAACAGGTGCGGCTGCATTGGCTTGGAGGGGGCACACGTTCTCCGTGAGGACTTTTGTCTGTGAGCCCCACGCTTTGTGTCTGCTGCAGAAGATAAGATCAGTGGACAGCTTCTCAGTTCCTTTAGTAGTGTTCAGAGGAAATTTCCAGGAGCCTTTAGAATGGCGGCAAGCAAACCACAAAGAGATCCTGGGGCAAAACTGTCTCTACAGCCACTATATACACACAAAACGGTTGTCACAGTTTCCCATTCTTTGCCCACTCTGTGACCCACAAGCCAGCAGGAGGTGAAAAGTAACTGTGAACTTCTCTCTTTTCATCTGTAAATAAGAAGTGAAAACAATGTCTTTAAAGGGTTCTTTCTGGTGAGATGGCTCAGAGGGAAAGTGCTTATTGCATGAGCATGAAGACTCAGCTTTGGACACACCAAAAGCCTGCTATCTGTAAACCCAGTACCTCGAGAAGAAAACAGGCAAGGCTCAAGAGCTTGCTGGGCAAACACCAGCCAAAAATGTGAACTCAGGTCCACTGAGCCACCCTCTGTCCAAACCAAGACAAAAAGTGATTCATGAAGTCACTGTCATAGACTTCTGGCCTCTACATTGGCACACACACATGTACTCATGTACTCCATGGGCGTACACACACTGACATCTACACAACACATGTACTCACACACTCCTTGAATGCGCACACTGACATCTGGCCTCTATATATGCATACACACATCTGTACTCACACACTACAAATACAAGCACATACACAGAGAAAAAGAGAGATGGGGTGGGGGGGTGTCTTTCCAACACTTGCTTTCTTTAAGTTAAGGATCAGAACACATCCGGAAGAGACCACAGACAACCAAGAGAGACCATGACTTCACTGTCAAGTGAGTCTCCATCAAAGATACCATGTTCCCCTCATCTTCTCTTTTTTATCATTATTATTATTATTTTCATTTTAAATATCTTGTTTTACATGTCAATCCCAGTTCCTGCTTCCTCCCCTCCTGCCACACCCCCACCATCCCCCCCAGCCTCCCACCCTATCACCATTTCCTTCCCCATAGGGGATATTTAGAGTCTGTCATTTCACTCAGGGCAGGGTCCAGGCACTCTCCTAAGAGTCCAGGCCTAATCTTCTCTTACAAAGGAATATTGCAAGAAGTCAGGAAAATGTTAAAGTGAGAGAAACTATCTTTCTAGCCTACAGAAGTATGTGGGATGGCTAGGAAGGGTTCAGTTTTTCTGTCATGCAGAACTAAGTTATGTGTCACTAAAATCACCTGGGACCTCCAGAGTGTCACCTATCAAGCACTCATAAATATTCATCCCAATGATCATTCTTAGCCTAAACATGTCCTAGCTCACCCTTTCATTATTGAACATGGTAATAAGAAGGCTGACTGGTTTCCACATTTCCTCTGTTTAAGTTTTAAGCTTTCCGTCTAGAAAAGCACTTGGCAACTGTAAACCTGCAATTTGAATGTTTGCAGCCACAGTAGTTAAACATTTACCTCAACATCACTTTGCACCTACAGAACAGATGTGCTAAATCTTCTTTGCCTCTGGCTGAATTTGGTATAATAATACAAAGAAAAGAGAGCAAATCATTATGGTCTGGGGAGATGGTTCAGTCTCTTAAGAGACTGCCATGTAAGTATGAGGACATGAGTTCAGATACCCAGCACTCACAAACAAAGGTGAATATGCCAGTCTGCATGTATAACCCCAGGACTGCAGAAGGCAGTGGGGGAAACATTCTTGGAACTCATTGACTAACCAATATAGACAAAACACTGCCAATCTAGCCAAATCAGTGAGGGTCAGGTTCAGTGGGAGACCCTGTCTCAAAAACTAAAATGAAGAGTAGTAGGTAAGATACCTGTCATTAATCTCCAGCCTCAACGCACATGCATTCACATGCCCATAGGCTCAAATACACACACACACACACACACACACACAGAGAGAGAGAGAGAGAGAGAGAGAGAGAGAGAGAGAGAGAGAGAAAACAGTGGAGAGAGACAGACCAGCAAGAGAATTCCTAACAATGAAAAGAATGTAATAGACAAATGGACAGGCTGTTTATGGAAAATGTGAACATACTGGTATGTTCCTCTACTCTCTTTGGATACTCTTATCTCCATGTCTAATACTTAACTTGGATTATTGGTATGATAGCAACAACGTATATATCCAGAATCTGTTTTGTTTGGTGAGTTGTCAAATCTGTTTGGTTAATTCATCTGTCACAGAAGTAGTTAATTTTTAAGTATCCCTCTCATCCATCTCTTTGTTGATTTTTTTCACACTTATGTTTTCGTCACATGCCAATAAACACAAAAGCCATCCTCCAAAATGAGACCGCTGCTATTATTTTTACTGTGGTTTGTCACACTCTTCTCACACCATCTCAATGCTCAATAAATTCTTATATACACTGTGTGTCCATGTCCTGAGCATCCTACAAATACCCTCATCTCACATTCCTTGTTTCCTACAATTTGAACTACTTCCCAGTAGCACACACATGCACACACATACAGTCAGCCATGGTGGACTTACATACAAAGTAACACGCCTACTATGCACAAACAAAGGATTAGCCAAGTTAAATTTTCTTCCTTAGGTCACACAACCTCCTGAGTTCACAAAAGAGCATCAGTTCAATCCACAGTCGAAGTGCTCCTAGCAACAATCAATGGAATCAGGAAAGTGGTTGCTAAGGGCCAAGGTTT